AGTGGGTTGTTATTGAGGTATTGTCTTGTTGATGTCGGTTTTCTTCAAACTTTCCGACAAACTCATGAACATACCCTTTTGATGTCATCAATTTTCTTTGGGAATGACTCCATAACAAGCACAACTTTGAATCTGATCAGCTACTTAAGGTATGAACTTGTCCTTGTGGATGAGCAATTTTAGAAACTCTTGATATTGTTAAGTTGTTCCAAGGTGCTAAATGAGATGAATGCATGATAGTCAAGCTAAATGATGTGTTTGCACATATGCAATATGATATTTTCAGTTTGTGCATGAATGTTGGTAAACATACCCTCATGATTGATCATATAATGAATGAATAGAGAATGATAATCATGAGTTAAATAAATTTTGTGCGTATAATCAAATAACGTCGCTTGTGGATCACTGGTAAAGCACAATTCTCACTTCATAAGCAAGTTTATATAAAAGTTGTAACAAACGTAACTCATATTAGAAAAATCTAGGGTTTGCGAAGAGTTTAACGACGAGTTTCAACGTGACTCTGGGATAAGTTCTAGATGGCTTATGGTGGCAACTAAACTGACTATATGCTGGGTATGAGTTTCTAGGAGAATTGCCCCCAAGTTGTATTTGACTATAGCTCTTTCGAGTGAGCCGAATACCTCAAACCAACCTCGGATTTGAGTTCAACTTGGTTACCAAGTTTCACGTTATTCTTCTACTATTGTAGAAGTCACGGTACTCCTTTCAGTTTCTTAAGGTAGAGCTCAAGTATAGAGCTTTTTATGCATGAATGCAAAAATTTGAATACGCGATATTGTAAATGCGCAAATAATACAAATAAACACCCACATATAAAAGAAGGTAAGAAAAACTTATCGATTTAGTATATGTAGCTCGACTCTCAATTGTTCCCCAGCGGAGTTGCCACTGTCGCAACCGCCCCTCGAGATCAGGGGATCCGTCGCATCGCGCTCGGAGTCGCCATCGACCTTAGTTTGTAGTGGGTAGAACACTCGTTTAGTCCGGTCTCGACCTTAGGGTCGAAACCGGGTTTGGGTCTGCGAAATTTAGAGATTTTGGGTTCGGGAGTATGGTTAAGTGTGGGGAAGTGTATTCACACCCCACAACGCCCAAAATTGGTATTACTTAAATCGATAAGTATTTTAAGGGTTGGGTGTATTATTATTTGCGACTTTTACGTATTTAATTATAAGATTCAATGAGATATTAATTTTTTATTAATATATAATTTGATCATACGCCTATTGACGTAATTTCAAAATTAGGAAAGAGTTTTTGGTTAGTTGGACTCGAACCTATTGGTTGCCTACGTAACCGACTAGTCGGGATCAAAGTCCACGTAGTTCAGTTGTAATTTTGAGTTATAAATGTTGAGTCTCATACATTAGGAATATGGAGAAAGTTTTTTATTAGTTGGACTTGAAACCTATTGGCTGCCTACGTACCCGAGCAGTCGGGATCAAAGTCCACGTAGTTCGGTTGTAATTTTGGGTCAGACTAGTATGGGTTGACTGACTTTGACTTTTGTTGATTGAATTGACCAAAAGTTGACTTTGACTTTGGGTCTAAATTTATTTTATTGTTTTATTGTTATGTAAATATATTAAGTTGGTATTTGCATTTCTTATTGTAATTGTTTGTGGTTTAGTAATGTATTTGTAATTTTTATTTCTTTGATTTAATTCCAATTTAGTTTAATAAGATGGTTGTTTATTTTTCTTAATTCGACTCTACTTTTTGTTACTTCATAATCAAAGTACAACCCTCACCCAGTCCAAAGTCTTGAGAACCAATTCATCAAAGATCAACTCATAACTACTAAATTGCCTAATTCATCAAATCAAAGCAACATGTCAACTCTTGCTATCAAATCATATCGATCGAGATTTGCTATTGCTTAATCTCATCGAGTTGTGACAAATATAACCAATCCCAATCACTACAAATATATTTTAGCTAAGAGTTCATTTAAGATTTGCTATTGCAAATTTTATATGTTTTGACCCGGACAAAAAGTGGTGTCTACATGAGGGTGAGACCATAGAGAAACATTGTACTACCAGCAAGATTTTGGGACTACTATTTAGGAGTAGTGAGTCGACACCCTATTGATGATTATGTTGGATATGATATGCTCACATTAGCTAAAAGAGATTATGCTCTTATAATGATCTCCCAACCAGAACCAAAGAGCTACGAGGAAGCTCGAAAGGATGAGATTTGGAATAGAGGTGTTGACACGCCAAAACACAACACCTAACAATGGCCAAGTGTAACCAATGAAAGGGACTGCAGTATAGTGGTACAAGTAATAAATATCGAATCCACGGGTCTCTAGAGTTACTATTACTCAGCTTCAGTTCATTATCTAGCAAACTAGATTAAGGATTGATTAACTAAACTACTCTACTAACTAAACTAAGTAAAACTACTGATTACAGTTTGGGAACTCACTTAGGTATGATTCCCCCTAGCTCCTCAATTAGGTCCAAGTTGTAATTCCTTTTGATTGTTTTACTGTTGATTAAACTGCGGAAGATCCGACAGTAGCTTGGAATCTCTTAAGCTGACCAAGCCCTCTAAGTCTAACTACCCGGCAGACGACTAGTCTTCACCGGGATAGAAAGCTGAAGCAATAAGCACAGAACTCCACTACTGGACTTGGATTCCAGTACAAAGCAGTAAACTGGCTAACTCTCGTATACCCAATCTCCTACTACCGAATGATGAGACTCTAGCAACCTAATCAGATTCTATCTATCTCAGATTGCAGCAGGAATCAGGAAAAGTTGATCAGACTTCAATTGACTCAATAAACATGCATCATTCGATTATAATCAAACAATATAGCATCCAAAACTTCATACAAGAAAGATCCTAACTCATGGAACTAAGGTTCCTCAAAACCTAAGTGAAGGGAAGTTACTCCATAGAGAAGAGAGAGACTGCAGAAATCTGATCTAGATCTTCAATCTCCATCTCCAAGCTTGATTCCCGAGCTCCAATGGCGAAGAAATCCTCCAAAATAGCTCCAAGAATGTTCCCAAGTCGCTCTCTCTCTCTAGGGTTCGTCCCTTGGGTGTTTGGGATCCAAAACCCAGCTCTCCCTCTTCTTTGGTTCGGAATTTGGCTTAAAACCAGGAAATCCCGACTCGCACGGCCAGGGTGCACGGCCGTGCATATCACCATTCTGGCCGTGCAACTCAAAACGCAGCGTGTCATTTAGTCGAACTTCAGCCCTCTCGCACGGCCAGGGTGCACGGCCGTGCGAGCTTCAGGGGTTGCCCGTGCGTGTCCTCGGCATAAGGCGCACGGCCATATTGCTCACGTGCACGGCCGTGCAGCCTCCCTGGTCTGCCCGTGCAGCTCCCCAAAAACTTCGCCATTCGTCCGTTCTTCGTCCAATCGACCCCAGACTCGCTCCTAAGCCTTCATTCACGTACTAGGACCTGAAACATCACAAACAAGCACAACCTAGCGTGAAATCGGTCTAAACCACGAGAAATCACATCTCAAACGGTGTAAGAACAGGGGTAAAAACATGTGTAATTAACGGTCTATCAGGTGTGCAAGAAGAACTAATGGCTCCCTGTTCAAACAATACTTGGGATATTTGTCAGTTACCTCCACACAAGAAGTAAATAGGCAATAAATGGGTTTTCAAACTCAAGCTTCAACCATATGGGAGCATAGACAAACATAAGGCTAGATTAGTTGCGAAGGTATATACAAAGATATACGATGTGGACTTCCTTGATACTTTTTCTTCAGTTGCACAAACCAACACTGTAAAAACTTACCGGAAGTAGCAGTAATTCAGAACTGGAATCTTCATCAAATGGATGTCTCGAATGCATTCTTGCAAGGAGACTTAGAAGAAGATGTTTATATGGAGATACCTTTAGGTATTTCAATTGAAGGAAACACTAGTGGAATGACTTGCAAGCTGAAAAAATTTCTATATGGGTTAAAGCATGCCAGCAAACAATGGTTTTCTAAGTTGACCAGTTTCCTATTGAAATGGTTTCACACAATTTGCCTCTTAATATTCTATGTTTGTGAAGTGGGTAAAGGCATGATTGTAGTGTTACTAGTGTATATGGATGACATAATCCTAGCACAAGATCTAGATTGGGAGATTTGGAGGCTGTTAAGTTGTATCTAAAGGAGTTTTTCTACCCAAAAAAAAAAAGGAGTTTAAAATAAAATACCTTGACATCTTGAAGTACTTTCTTGGGTAAAATTTCTAGGAACATCTCTAGGATCATTGTTTCACAAAGGAAGTGTTGTATAGATTAGTTAGAAGAAAACGGTTTCTTGGAATCCAGGAGTGGCAAGAGTCACATTGACTGTAAGGTCAAACTCAATCCCATAGAAGGTGCCTTGCTGAAGGATCCTGGTTGCTACAAGAGATTATTGGATACTTCACCACCTAAAAATTACTAGGTCTGATATTGCATATTTTGTTCAAATTTTGAGTCAATATCAAATACGGCCACGAGAACCACATTTTTAGGTAGCATTTAGAGTATTAAGGCATCTCAAAGGAACTTTATGTCAAGTGTTGTATTTGAAATACAAAACTTTGGTATCGTTTGCATGTGGGATTTGGGTGATGGATATGGCACCCAAATTTCAAACATCAAGGACTTGAACAAATCTATTGTTTGATAATGGACATGTTAGAAACCTTGATCTAGGCGTGCACGTCAAGGGTTCACTATTCCATAGATCGATAGATAATCACGAGCTATGTGGGATTTAGGAATTAGGAGTGTGAGAATTAGGGTTTGGCAAGGGGTGATTTGGTGAGAAAAAGAAGAGGATCGACTTCCCTAGGGTAGGGGTTGACCTCAGCAAGGGAGGAAAGAGGGAGAGAGTTGTCGAGTAGGGAGAGAGATTAGGTTAAGGGAATTCTTGTTCTATAATTTCTTACCCTACTAATCCCACGATTACAGAATATATAGCCCGATAAATTCTCTATAACTACTCGATAGTCTCCTAATAATCGATAATACCCCAATAATCTGAAAATACCCACAAATAACACCCAAGACAATAATAAACCAGCAAATGAGTCCAAACCCACCAAAATAGCTAAAAACCGGGTTTCTAACAATCCATCCCCCTTAAGACCAATCTTGCCCTCAAGATTGACCTTCGCTCTTCTCGGCGTCCTTCTCTTCCTGGGTACTTCTAGCCGTCAGCTCCTCTGATTCATCCTCCCAGTTCCCCACTAGCAACTTCAGACGCCCCTTAGCACACTGGTGACCCACTGTGTACCTCCCATCGTAGTTGAAACAACGCCCCTCCCTGTGTTTTTGCTCCATCTCTACTGGCGTCAGCTTCACGAATCCCTTGGGCGGCAAGCGAGCTGGGATTCAACCTCCAAGTGGGAATCATGTGTTCACCGGGTTTTTCGTTCCCGATGTTGGCGCAGTCACAGCTCCGGAACTCGTGCCTCTACTCGTTCCTCTGCCTGATCCTCCCGTCATTCGCGTCACGCGCCAGAGGTCTCCCTTCTAGATGGCTATCTCCTCCTCCTTATGACCTGCAAGCCTGAAACCAACTCGCAAAGAGTCGGGTTCAAAAACCATGATCGTTGCTGCCAGCTCCGGTCACAGCCCTGCCATGCACAATCCCACTAACGCCGCTTCCCCCATTTCCTTGCACTGGTTACCCAACTTCAGGAACTCCAACTGATACTTCGAACCGTGCCTGTCTGCTTTAGCTTAGCCAACTGCTCTGGTACCCACCCTTTGACCTTGCCGAACTGGTACCTGAGCTCCTCCTAAAAACCTGGCCCATGTGATCATAGTCCCTACTGGAGCATAAGACCGCTCCATCCATTCCCAACACTGTAGTGCATCCTCTTCTAGATAAAAGGATGCCAAGTGGCCTTGCACTCCTCCCGTGTTGAGTGGTTTCGAAACCACCTCTCAGCCGCATACATCCATAATCCCACGTCTCCATGACCATCAAACTTAGGAAACTCAATCACAGGCGGTTTAACTCGAAAGACCAAATCATCATTACTTTCATACAGGGGGTTATTGATGACTCGGTATTTGCACATGTTTTCCCCCTTTGTTTCTTGATTGTCTGAGCTTGAATTATCGTGTCTTTGGCCTATTTTACGCTAGGTTGTGTTCCTTTGTCACATTTCAGGTCCTAGCACATAAAGTGAAGCATAGGTGCAAGTTTCAAGTCAATCAGAGATCAATTGACGATTCGGGAGAAGAAACTCGGGTATGACCTGAAGAAGAATGGATTTCTACCTCACTTTATGGACAAAGAATCATGCAAGCTTGTCATGAAAAGAAAGAGGACGAGACTACAAGCGTCTGGGATCAAACGGCGACTGATTCGGAGTCCGGACGAGGGAGAAACGAAGCATTAAACAGAGGCTGAGCAAGCCACACGGGCACAACCCACACGGCCGTGTGACCTGGCCATGTGGCCGTGTGGAAATCACCGAGCCTTCACACGGGCAGCTGGGAAAGCCACACGGCCGTGTGGCCTGGCCGTGTGAGTCGGGAATTGCTATTTAAAACCCGATTTTCAGCAAAAGGAGAGGGAGAGAGCTGGGTTTTGGATCCCAAACACCCAAGGGACGAACCCTAGAGAGAGAGAGCGACTTGGGAACGTTCTTGGAGCTATTTTGGAGGATTTCTTCGCCATTGAAGCTCGGGAATCAAGCTTGGAGATGGAGATTGAAGATCTAGATCAGATTTCTGCAGTCTCTCTCTTCTCTGTGGAGTAACTTCCTTTCACTTAGGTTTTGAGGAACCCTAGTTCCATGAGTTAGGATCTTTCTTGTATGAAGTTTTGGATGCTTTATTGTTTGATTATAATCGAATGATGCATGTTTATTGAGTCAATTGAAGTCTGATCAACTTTTCCTGATTCCTGCTGCAATCTGAGATAGATAGAATCTGATTAGGTTGCTAGAGTCTCATCATTCGGTAGTAGGAGATTGGCTATACGAGAGTTAGCCAGTTTACTGCTTTGTACTGGAATCCAATTCCAGTAGTGGAGTTCTGTGCTTATTGCTTCAGCTTTCTATCCCGGTAAAGACTAGTCGTCTGCCGGATAGTTCGACTGAGAGGGTTTGGTCAGCTTAAGAGATTCCAAGCTACTGTCGGATCTTCCGCAGTTTAATCAACAGTAAAACAACCAAAAGGAATTACAACTTGGACCTAATTGAGGAGTTAGGGGGAATCATACCTAAGTGAGTTCCCAAACTGTAATTAGTAGTTTTACTTAGTTTAGTTAGTATAGTAGTTTGGTTAATCAATCCTTAATCTAGTTTGCTAGATAATGAACTGAAGCTGAGTAATAGTAACTCTAGAGACCCGTGGATTCGATATTTATTACTTGTGCCACTATACTGCAGTCTCTTTCATTGGTTACACTTGGCCATTGTTAGGTGTTGTGTTTTAGCGTGTCAAGTTTTTGGCGCCGTTGCCGGGGACTTTCTAGATTATTAGGAAAGGCAGAAGTTTGTTACTTTAGCGTTTTTCTTTTCTTTTCCACCCTTGCTTTTCACTTGTGTGTTTTTGTTTTTGTTGGTGCAGATCTGAATCATGGATCCTCATGGCTTCTCCAACCATTGGGGGTATCCACCACCATCCGAGTGGTATTACCCCGAGACTCCCTGGAGCAATCAAGGAGGAGAAGACTATGGATTCGGGTTCCAGTACCAACCCCCTTTCTACGGAGAACAACCAGACCCCTGGGCATATCAAGAACAATCTCCTTATCAAGAAGAATTCCTCCCACAACAAGAAGGGCCATCAGATCTTGAGTTACCCATGGCGGCCTTCACTGGCCACTCTGCAGAGCCATGCTACACTTCACTGGAAGATCCGAACAAACAATTAAGGCTTCTCGTGGAGCAGTTTGCTCGAGACACTGAGAGAGCCTGCTCCAAGATGGATCTTCAAATCAAAGCCCTTGCTGCTTCCGATCCCTCATTTCTCCATGATATGGAGGAGACTGTTCAGCGCTCAGCGAAGCAAACAGAGTGGGTGGAGCAAGTTTGCTCACATCTTGCTCAAGATCACCTTTCTGCTACCACGCTAGAAGAGGTGGAGGATGACAAAGGCTATGGGGATGTTGAGGAGCATACAGAAGTTATCACAGAGAACTCCCATGATAATCATGATCAGGAAAGTCCTCTGGTTGCATATCACACAATTCCTTATTTCTGCTCTAACATGCTGGGCCCGAGCGAGGGGATGCAAGATGATCTCATTGAAGAAATTGCTTGGCGACTTGCTCTCCAATCTGTTCTAGAAGAAGAAGAGCGAGCAAGGATGAGGAAGGAAGTTGTGGAGGATGAGGAAGAAAAAAAAGAAGAGGTGGTTCTTGATCTTTTCCCAGGGGTGATACCACATGAAGAAGAAAGGGGGGTTGAAGAAGCAATTGGCGTCCAGGCTGAGGACGGAGTTAAGGTGGAAGAGGCCTGCACCGGCCATGAGTTGCAAGTAATATCCCCACCAAACTTTGAGGAACTGCTTAGCAAGGACCCATTTGCAGTGTCTCTTTGCCAGACCAAGGCCACATCAATATCGGTCCCTCTTGGTGGACGCGATGGTGGCCAATCGATGATGTCATATTTGGGTTGGGGCAATGAGACGAGAGAAGAGAAGAAGAGGTCTCGAGGGTGGAGACTTCATCTGCATCAAGTACACGAGCCTTCATCACCTGCCACACCACATGCTCGTGACTTGAGACTCCACCTCATCGACGAGAACCTCAACTTCAAGGAGGTTCTAGCATGGACCGAAACTTAGGAGCCATCTTTCGGCTCACGACGTGAAAGAAGCGCTTGTTGGGAGGCAACCCAACCAGTCGGTTTGCATTTCTTTCTCTATTTCTCCTCGGTTGAGTCAGTTTTGCTATTTGATTTTAGAGTCAATAACTCAACCTTTGTGAGATTTTGTGTGGTGTTTGTGTTCTGATTACTCTCTCTTCCTGGAATGCACCGCCTGACCCGTTCATCATCATTCACCCTTGATCTGGTAACTTCGTTCTACCCTCCTTATCTTTCCTCCATTGAGGACAATGTCGTGCTTAAGTGTGGGGGGATGTTCGATTATGTATGCGGGTAAATGTTTGGCTGTTTGTGTGCTTGGAGCCTAGTCCACTGTCCAAATTTTTAAATTTGAGGGCTCCAGGTACGTGTTCCTTGCAATTGCCTGCTCAGTATGCTTTGAATTGACAGTCTTTATAGTAATATGCAACCTAGGGAGGTAGTGTAGCACTATGGAGGATGTTGATGCATTTAAGAAATCTCATTAGTTCTTCATATTGTGTTGGTTGATTGAGTGAATTAGTGATCTTAGGACCCTTGAATTGTGTGGTGTTGTGGACTCTCTACCTGTCATGGACTCTTGTATCATGTTTTGAAAGTAACAGGTGCTCGAAAATGTGCTTCAAAATAACGTCTCCCGTGAGAATAGGGCGAAAGTGTGTAAGGGGAGACGGGAATTCGTTCCCAATTTCCACCTACTACCTCCAGCCCCCTTACATGTCTTTCCCCCGCACGAGGCTCGAGACATCCGCTCCTGGCATGGCCGGTAAGAGCAGGTTGGGACCCTTGAAAAAAAAAAGAGTAAAGAAAAAATAACAGAAAACAAGCAAAACAGAAAGAAAAGGGGTTCCAACCATCTTCAAAGAAAATAGAGCACCTTGAAAAATGTGATCCATGATCCTTTGTTTTTTAGAATCTCTTCATCCACAATTCATTTGTCCTCTGTTCACTATTTGCCATGATGCCGACTCGATACTAGTGCTCTCGCCGAAGAAGCTATGAGATGACTTGTGTGTCGGTTGACCTCGTAAGCTGCTAAACGATCTAGGAAGTCCTCTACCTACGATCTGGGGTGTATGTTGCTATAGAGCTCTGGAGAGCTGCATTGGTTTGAGTTAGGTTTGCTTGGGGACAAGCAAACAGTTAAGTGTGGGGGGATTTGATGACTCGGTATTTGCACATGTTTTCCCCTTTGTTTCTTGATTGTTTGAGCTTGAATTATCGTGTCTTTGGCCTATTTTACGCTAGGTTGTGTTCCTTTGTCACATTTCAGGTCCTAGCACATAAAGTGAAGCATAGGTGCAAGTTTCAAGTCAATCAGAGATCAATTGACGATTCGGGAGAAGAAACTCGGGTATGACCTGAAGAAGAATGGATTTCTACCTCACTTTATGGACAAAGAATCATGCAAGCTTGTCATGAAAAGAAAGAGGACGAGACTACGAGCGTCTGGGATCAAACGGCGACTGATTCGGAGTCCGGACGAGGGAGAAACGAAGCATTAAACAGAGGCTGAGCAAGCCACACGGGCACAACCCACACGGCCGTGTGACCTGGCCATGTGGCCGTGTGGAAATCACCGAGCCTTCACACGGGCAGCTGGGAAAGCCACACGGCCGTGTGGCCTGGCCGTGTGAGTCGGGAATCGCTATTTAAAACCCGATTTTCAGCAAAATGAGAGGGAGAGAGCTGGGTTTTGGATCCCAAACACCCAAGGGACGAACCCTAGAGAGAGAGAGCGACTTGGGAACGTTCTTGGAGCTATTTTGGAGGATTTCTTCGCCATTGAAGCTCGGGAATCAAGCTTGGAGATGGAGATTGAAGATCTAGATCAGATTTCTGCAGTCTCTCTCTTCTCTATGGAGTAACTTCCTTTCACTTAGGTTTTGAGGAACCCTAGTTCCATGAGTTAGGATCTTTCTTGTATGAAGTTTTGGATGCTTTATTGTTTGATTATAATCGAATGATGCATGTTTATTGAGTCAATTGAAGTCTGATCAACTTTTCCTGATTCCTGCTGCAATCTGAGATAGATAGAATCTGATTAGGTTGCTAGAGTCTCATCATTCGGTAGTAGGAGATTGGCTATACGAGAGTTAGCCAGTTTACTGCTTTGTACTGGAATCCAATTCCAGTAGTGGAGTTCTGTGCTTATTGCTTCAGCTTTCTATCCCGGTGAAGACTAGTCGTCTGCCGGATAGTTCGACTGAGAGGGTTTGGTCAGCTTAAGAGATTCCAAGCTACTGTCGGATCTTCCGCAGTTTAATCAACAGTAAAACAACCAAAAGGAATTACAACTTGGACCTAATTGAGGAGCTAGGGGGAATCATACCTAAGTGAGTTCCCAAACTGTAATTAGAAGTTTTACTTAGTTTAGTTAGTAGAGTAGTTTGGTTAATCAATCCTTAATCTAGTTTGCTAGATAATGAACTGAAGCTAAGTAATAGTAACTCTAGAGACCCGTGGATTCGATATTTATTACTTGTGCCACTATACTGCAGTCTCTTTCATTGGTTACACTTGGCCATTGTTAGGTGTTGTGTTTTAGAGCATCAGTTATACTCTCCGTACCTGCCTATGCCATAGTGAGGGAATCCCCAACCACCACTACTGCCGCGTCCTGAGTACCCCCATGGAGGTTGCGGAAACGACCATCCATCGTTCCCCTCTATGTACTCGTCATGCCCTCCAGATTTGACCTCTGATCCTTGCCCCGTCTCCAGGGTTTGCCCAATCCAACCTTGTCTTGTCCCGAAAGTCACGAGAGGTGGGTATGGGGATTCGGAACCCCTCTTGTGACCTCCTCCAGCTCCCGGTCGTCCTCCACTACTGCTGCCCCTCAAAGTCCGGTTTGGTTCAAACTGATATAAACCATTTCGGTTCCGGTCGAACAAGTCCAGTCGGATCGGTCGGAGCTCAACCAAGAAATCCATCATGGTTCGGACTCGCGATCTAACATCCCAACTCCGGGCGGCCCAGGGTTGGCCCAGCTCCTGTCGTAGCCTGCCAGACTTATCTCCTCTTCCTAGCGATCGTGATTTGGGCCAAGATGGCCCATCCACCCTCATGGTCGATGGCCGCCCCATCCGAACCCCAGGGCTCCGGCCCGTACCTGTATGCCGCCTCCTTGTAACCCGCCACCTTCCCCTTTCCGCGGGCTGCCACGATTTCCTGGGTAGTGGGCTAGAGCGGCAGACCCGCTCCTGGGATGGACCGGGTGTTGTCTTGGCAAGCATGGCTACGGTTTCCCACAACCTCACCCACAGCCTTCCTCGCCGCCTAGCACCGGCGCTTATGTCAAGCCGCCTGCTACCACTATCCCGGCGGTTACTTTGGTCGTCGTCGCCTCCTCCGCTGGCTCTTGCGGCTGCAGCTCCTTGCTCCGTTGCTCCACCATCTTCTCCATCATGGCACGAAACTCAGCCAGTTCCGCTCCAATACGTTGGGTGGAATCCTCGATGTGGGCTCCAACCGTCTACAGCTGTTCGCGAGCCTCCATCTGGTTGTCCGTGATCTTATTCATGAAACCCAGTAATGTCTCATTCTTGGTGTGATCTTTCACTATCACGATCTCCTTCTGCGTCTTCTGCATCTTGTCTGCTATGGAAGACAACTCGTTTGATCTCGTCTGAACCCGCGCGCCAGCCAGGCTCTGATAACACTGTTAGAAACCTTGATCTAGTCGTGCATGTCAAGGATTCACTAATCCAGAGATCGATAGATAATCACGGGCTGTATGGGATTTGGGGATTAGGAGTGTGAGAATTGGGGTTTAGGGGGTGATTTGGTGAGAAGAAGAAAAGGGTAGGGGTCGACAGCAGCAAGTAGGGGTGGGCATTCGGTCAGACCTCAAACCGAATTCAAACCGAATTATAATTCGATTCGGTCGGTTTAAACAGAACTATAATTCGATTCGGTTTTTCACACAAAACCGAATTTGTGAAGCTACTTGTATTTTCTCACTTTTAAATTATTTTTCACCCCTAATATAAACAATAAATATCAATTATATGCATCATCAATGATAAAACCAAACTTTTCAACACATAAGTCATAAAACATTTCAAATATTTAAGTCTAAAAACAACTACAAACATAAAAATCCACCATTTGGAGCTTGCAATTATAGTATTTCGGTTTTTCGATCGGAAATTCGATTCGGTTGAAAGAACCCTGATTTCCGAACTATCCATATTTTTCTTCCGAATTCCGAACCGAATAGCATTAATTCGGTTTCGGTTTGATTTGATTCGGTTTCAGTTCGGTTCGGGTTTACCGAACCATTTGCCCACCCCTAGCAGCAAGGGAGGAAAGAGGGAGAGAGTTGCCGGGTAGGGAGAGAGAGAGAGAGAGAGAGAGAGAGAGAGAGAGAGATTAGGTTAAGGGAATTCTTATTCTGTAATTGCTAACCCTACTAATCCCACGATTACAGAATATATAGCCCGATAAATTCCCAATAACTACCTGATAGTCTCCTAATAACTGATAATACCTCAATAATCCGAAAATAGTCAAAATACCCACAAATAACACCCAAGGTCCTCAAAACAACAATAAACCGACAAATGAGTCCAAACCCCCAAAATAGCTAGAAACCGGATTTCTAACAAGAGACAAATCCGTGGGGTCCACATATTTTTATATCCAAATATGTGGACCACACGAATTTCCAAATCTCGCATTTCATTTGGAATTTGATAATGAGGACAAAAAGTGAGACAAATCCATCATAAATCCATGATATCTAAACAAATAATGTACTCTTCCAAATCCATAATAACTCCAACGATTTTTAAAATTTAAAACCCTCATTTTCAAAATCTAACAAGCAAATGAACCTTCTTAAGGAGCGGCAAAGAAGGAACTCGACCTAACGGTTCAACCGGTTAGTTTCCCAACCCGCTAACATACTCAAGGGATTTTTTCCAGAACTAGCACTATTTGAAAAAAATTTACAAAAATAGCACCCAACCCCGATATATTCCAAAAATAATACCCTTTCACGAAAATCGCTGGGTGGATGCACGGTTTTCGACGAAAAGCGCACGGGTAGGGGGCGGTTTCGCTGACCGCATGGGGCCGGGGCAGTTTGGTTGCAAACCGCACCCCCACCCGGCGGTTTGTAATAAAAAAAAATTTCCGCATAAATGTCTTAAGTGGTCTTGGCACAACTGGTTTAACTGTTTATTGTGTGCAAGAAGTCCTAGGTTCAAAACATCATCATCCCATATTAAATTTTTTTATTTAGTAGAAATTAAAAAAAGTAACATGTTGTGGGGTGGTGGTTCTAACCTAGATAATAAATAGTTAACTAAATTTGACACAACATCTACACCACCAAACTACAACACTTCTCTTGAAGTAATAATATATTGACAACGTTTTACTTCTTGAACGCTAAAAATACTCAATAACTTTGAACAACCATAACTTTGTGCTCCAAAATCCGAACGTCATGATTTTTTTTTCATTTCGCATAACTCTTATGGACTACAATTTTTACTAGGAATGAATTTTCAAAACATGAATTATTTTTTGATATACAGGATTTTGGGAATAACTCACCTTCCCTTTTCACAAATCCACGTACATTCCGAAATTCTGTCTATGATAAAAGTTGTAGTCCTTAAAAAGTTATGCGAAATGAAAAAAATTCGGATTTTGGAGCACAAAGTTATGGCCGTCCAAAGTTTGACGAAATCGGAAAAAAATTTGTTCGGGGTAGCAAACGACATTTTTTCGGGACGAAGGCGCAAGATATCGAAAACTTATGCGAAATAAAAAAAAAAAGCTACGATCGGAAACCCTAACACAAAAGATACGTTCATTTGAAGTTTCCACCTAGATTAGGATTTTTCGGAAAAAAAAAATTTTATATGGACCAAACCGCTGGGCGGGAGCAACGGTTTTGGACCAAACCGGTCCAACCCTAGGCGGTCATGAAAATCGCCCTATCCATGCAGTTTTCATTGAAAATCGTGTCTCAACCTGCTGTTTTCAGGTAAACCGCTGGGTCGGGTAGCGATTATTGAGAAATGGTGCTATTTTGGAATTTTTTGGGATTGGATACTATTTTTGGAATTGTTTTTTTAACAGTGCTATTTTTGAAAATATCGCAACCCAAACGGGTAAATGAGCAGATCAGACCGGTTAGTTAGCAACTGGTTTCTGACAGCAGCTAATTAACTCGACCCTCTGCCCATCAATTGATTCTTGTCTTCCTCGCTGTTGTTTCGCACAACTCTCTGCACTCTCCCCCCACTCTTTTTGCCTGTGGCTGCTGCTTCCCTCTCTTTAACTGTTAACAGAAACTCGTGAAGCAAGAAACACAAAGAGAAGAGAGAGAGAGAGAGCAACACGACAAATTCAATACCCACACGGCAACCCGCCTCAGAGATCTAACGGGAACTTGAATTCTGAATTCTCTCTGTCTCCGGTGAAGAAATGAGGGAACCGACAATGATCGACGGCAACAGCAATGCCTCCTCCTCGCCATTACCGCCTCCACCGCAGGCTTTGCTCGAGCGCCTCAAGGACTACGGCCAGGAAGATGTCTTCGCGCTCTGGGAAGAGCTCTCCGCCGACGAACGCGACTTCCTCGTCAAGGACATCGAGGTTGGTAAACCAAAAAAAAAAAAAAAACTGTCGGTTGCTTGCTTGTTCATTGGTTTCCTTCGCTCCTCAAGTAATTGAACGATTTGCTTCGTCTTGGATCTTCAAGGATTGTTTGTCACTTCTCCATCGCTGATCTGGTCGGTATTCGAATTCGTATAGTGACTTGAATTTATGTTCCGGAAGTTCTGAATATCATTTGTGTTGCCCGCCGGCATTCAAATTTCTGTTTCAGTTTAATTTCCCCGTTTTCTGTTTTGCATTTAAAGCGCGTAAATGGAGGCTGGAATTCAGTTAGGATATGGTGGTGGGTTACGTTCCCTTAGTTTGAAACCTGCTTCTTGATTGATTGCAGGGTCTAGATCTTCCGAGGCTGGATCGGATAATCCGATGTTCACTTCGATCTCAGGGTTTGCTCTCTCTCTTTCTTTCTCAATTCTGGATTTTGGGTGGGAATTTTTGTGGGACTGATTCAGAAATTTTGTACTAGATTTGTCCTGGTTTTCTGACATTAATGGCATGAATGCAGCTCTGCCAGTAGCCGCCATTGAGCCGGTGCCAGAGAGCAGTGTGTCTACGGTAGAGGAGAGGTCGATGGAAGATAGAGAGCGGTGGTGGAAGATGGGGTTAAAAGCAATCTCTGGCGGGAAGTTGGCCGTTCTGCTTTTATCCGGCGGTCAGGTACCTTTTTTCTGCTGGGTAATTAGTACGTCGATTTATAAGCTGGAGTGACGCTGCTGCTGCTGGGTCTTTTGAATTAAATGCTTCTCTACTTTTCGGTTTGACAAACTTGAGAAAAGGCATCATAACTTATTAGGAGGGAGGGGTTGTATAATGGCGTTTGGTAGCTGTCCCAGGGAATCTTTACCCCGCTTGCTTGCATAATTTTGTTATGATGTCACTTTTAGGCTTGATGGCCACTCCAAGACAATTCTGCGATTGCTATCTATCCATTTCTCTTAACAGTACAAATTGCTTTGCTGCATCATTAATCATTCTCTTTGCTTTATTATAAAGTTGCTGTTGAGTTGTTTAGTCAGGTCCCTTTCTCTTCTGTTGATGTTTCTTTTCTGGTTTCGAACTTGCTAATCTGCCGATGGGATTTGTTTAACTAATTCAAAAGCAGCAGAATTAGTTCCATGATTAGCTGGTAGATGCCAGAAAGATTGTTTTTTGGATGGTGCTGTTTGTTGGGTTTATCTGTAATTCAGGTGTATGTATGTACACGTTTGTAATCGAAGACAGTTTATTTCTTCTCCTGCTGTAATCAGGATCATGCAACTGTCTTCATCTGGGTAAATTGCATACACATCATATTGGTTAAGGAAAACTAAGAATGTTATGCAATATGTTTGAGTAAATAACTGGTGATACTGTATTCTACTATGTCGATGTGCAACTAATCTTTTTATGTATCCGTTTAAATGAAAATCCAGGGAACACGGCTTGGAAGTTCTGATCCAAAAGGATGTTTCAGTAAGTAACTTTCTAGTTTAAAACAGTGTTTCTTACTATTGCATTTTTATGTAAGTGGCAACATTGAACCAAGGAGGATGCTTATGGAGATTTCCCAAGTGACCCGCTTAATTCAAGCGCAAAGAAACTAATTCTAACCGTTGCATAGACGTTTCTATCTCAATGACTTACGATGCATAATACTAATACATCTCTACTGAAACTGCAGTAAGTGCAGCAAGGAAGATGTTTTGTAGCTTATAGGAGGATTCTATGACTTAGCTTAGGAATGAAATTTTGTTGCTCCATTTATTACTTGAACTTTGGACCAAGAAACCTCATGACTGATTCTCAGATCCTTCCGTGTTGTTATTTGTCAAAGAGAAATGACTGAAGGAAAAATAAGGCTGCTTGTTTCTTTTTGTTGAACTACGGCTAGTTGTTTT